GGTATGTGAAAACCTTAGGTCTTCAACCACTAGTCTAGTCCAATCCCCTGCTGTCAGGCCGGATATCACCATTAAATCCAAGGTCTCTTCTGACCCTAAGAGGTTTCGTACACATTGAATATGCCACTTAAGTTTCACACAGTGAACAAAGTGTCAGAGACTGGTTTGGCTCGGATATGGGGTGGGAGACAAACTAGAAAAGGAAAGAAGCACGTGGTAGAACATGGAGAAACAAACTGGTTTGTAATCAATGCCTCATCCTGTTTTTTGTTATGATACCTTCAAGTTACCATAGTACATTGATTTAATAGGCAAAAGCTCTTCCACTACATATTTATATTTTTCATTTGTGGCTTAATTCAAATTTTCATAATGAGGAAAAAGGCACAGAAATTCAATTTCTGTGAGGTAGGCACATTTGTATAGAAAAAGCTAAGAGAAGTTAGATGACTTGCCCAAAACAGCCTGGTTCATATGGGGTTGAGCCAGGAATAAATCATAGATCTTTATTCTAATTCTCATAATTCTTCCTGAAGTCGACATTTCTATCCTGTGTACATCTTAACTCAGTTTCTGGGCATGACATATAAGCTGGCCAATGACACTGTAGTATGCATCACCAGTCCCCAAAGTGCCCAGCGTCACCAGTCTAGGTGCCAGGCCCAAGTAGTACCAGGCTCCAGGATCCACAAAGATTATAAGTTTACTGGGTATATAGAAGCCTCTGGTTCCTGGCTACTCACTAATGTCATTTGTGAGGATAAGTTCCCCCAGTAGGCTTATTGCTGTAGCCACCTGTTGCTACCACATCTAGCCAGATGAAGGCCAGGGGAGTATACCAGTGTATCAAAATGCATGAGCAAGTCTCATCATCACCATTCTTACCAAATTTTCAATGATCCTTGAGATGACTTGAGTTATGCATTATCTAGGTTAAATGTTTCATCCTAACCATCACCTTTCATCACACAATCAAGATCTGATCTGATCATCCAAAAAGATTTTAACATCAAGCTAAGCCAAACAGAATTTTCAGGATAGAGCAAATAATACTAAACAAAATACCACAAAATATACTCTAAAACCAAACCCTTTTAGATTCCTGCTACTTGGAACTATCACTATGTATGATTGCTGCTGGTTGGGATCTTAGCTGTTTGGGACAATCCCCAATTCTGTACCCCTTTACATGGGCAGGAATCAAATGTTTTTAAAACCAGACTGTCTTCTGTCTCCTGGTTAGGTTGGTGGTTAACAACTTCCAGGGCTCTGAGTCAGCACAGTACTAGGAGGAACTACATAGTAGTTACCTACCTGTGGCCCAGCCAGCAACTGCCTTCATTCATAATAATTAACCTTTGAAAAAGAACCAGCAACTCTATCTGGACAGGCACATCCCACTACAGATCTCAGATCTGGTCCATCAGTAAATGTTTATCTCTTAGACCCTGGTAAAATAAAATAGGGCTTAGAGGCACTTGGTAAAACAGTCAGCTTTCTAGACTCACATGGGAAAAAAAGGTAATATGATAAAGAGCCACTTTAAATGCCTGTCTGCCTGTGTTAAAATAACATGCCCTTTTCATTCCTTCCAATAGCTCCCAAGGGACACTGTGGGGAGCCCCAATTTGTGACACCTACCCATAGAAAGCATATCAGCGTTATCCTTCCCAAACTTTAATTTTTATAGTTATTGGAGGTTTTTCCTTCCCTTAAGTTTTTTCTTTTTGCTTTGTCTTCCTTTCTTTTGTGCTTTTGTCCTTTTGGACTATTTCTTTTTATCCTTTTTAGTGTGTGAGTATTTTCTTGGTTGTTTTTGTTGTTGCTGCCACTAATATTATTCCCTGTCCTTTCCTTCTTTTACCCATTGCTTTTCCTTTGTTGTTGTTGTGTTTGGGGGCAATTTCCTTTTCTGTTTTGGAAGATTTATTTTACTTTTATGTGTTTTGGTATTTTTGCTTTCTTTTTTGATTTGTTCTACATTTTATGGGGTTGCACTATGGTTTATTTGCTTCTTTTCTGTTTAGAGTTTAAACTTTTTCTTTACTATTTTTTCTCATTTTCTTCTTTTTATATTTTAGTTTCTTGTTTTTCTCTTTTAGTATTTTTCTATTTCATGCTATTTTTCTTTCTTTGGGTTTTGGGCTTTATTTTTGGGTGTTTTGGGAAGGGGGTGGATTTTTTAGGATTTAAGGCAAGTTTTCCCAAATTGGTAAGGAAGAAGTAAAACTGTCACTATTTGTAAATGACATGGTACTCTATATAGAAAACTCTAAACACTCAACCAAAAAACTACTGGATTCAGCAAAGTCACAGGATACAAAATCAATATACAAAAATCTGTGAATTACTACATACTAACAATGAACTAGCAAAAAGACAAATCAAGAAAACAATTCCATTTACAACTACATCAAAAAAGAATAAAATACTTAGGAATAAACCTAACCAAAGAGGTGAAAGACCAGTACTCTGAAAAGACACTGATGAAATAAACTAAAGACACAAATCAATCGAAATCTCTCCCATGATCAAGGATAGGAAGAATTACTGTTCTCAAAATAGCTATCCTGCCCAAACCAATTTACTGACTCAATGCAATCCCCATCAAAGTACCAGTAGTATTTTTCAGTGAACTAGAGCAAATAATTCTAACATTTATTTTTTAACCACAAAAGACTCTGAATAGCCAAAGAAATATTGAGAATGAAGAACAAAACTGGGAGTTTCACACTTCCTGACTCCAAACTATGCTATAAAGCTACACTGATCAAAAAAGTATGGTACTGGCACAGGAACAGACCCATCCATCAACAGAATTGAATAGAGAGCCCAGAAATAAGCCTGTGCTTATATGGTCAATTACTATATGACAAAGGAGCCATGAATATACAATTTGGAAAAATGCCACTTTTGATGGGGATTGCATTGAATCTGGAAAATATGTCCAGGGAAAAGGTAGTTTTTGCTGTACATGGTACTGGGAAAGCTACATGCAACAGAATGAAACTGGATTACTGTCTAACTCCATATGTAAAAGTCAAACTGGATTAAAGACCTAAATATAGGACATGAAACCATAAAACTCTTAGAAGAACACATAGGCAAAAATCTCTTCAATATAAACATGAGCAACTTTTTCTTGAACACATCTCCTCAGGCAAGGGAAACAAAAGCAAAAATAAATAAGTAGGACTACATCATACTAAAAATCTTCTGGATAACAAAGGAAACTATCAACAAAACAAAAACGCAACCTACAGTATGGGAGAACATATTCATCAATAATTTATCTAATAAGGGTTTAACATCTAAAATACATAAAGAACTCATATGACTCAACACAAAAAATGAAATAACCTAATTAAAAAATGGGCAGAAGACCTGAAAACACATTTTTCCAAAGAAAATATGCAGATGGCCAACATGTACATGAAAATTGATACACATCACTAATCATCAGGGGAATGTAAGTCAAAACCACACTGAGATATCACCTCATACCAGTCAGAATGGCCACTATCCAAAAGACAAGCGATAACAAGTGTTGGTGAGGCTGTGGAAGGAAGAGAACCCTCCTATGCTATTGGCAGGAATGTAAATTGGTACAGTCACTGTGGAAATCAATATAGAAATTCCTCAAAAAACTGAAAATAGAAATACCATATGACCCAGTAATTCTACTTCTAGGAATTTACCCAAAGAAAACAAAATCTGTGATTCAAAAAGATATAAGCACCTCATATTTATTACCACATTATTTACAATAACCAAGATATGGAAGCAACCTATGTGTCCATCATTAGATGAATGGATAAAGAAGAGGTGGTACATACATACAATGGAATATTATTCAACCATAAAAAAGAAAAGAAATCCCGTGATTTGCAACAACATGGATGGATCTAGAGATTATTATGCTAAGTGAAATAAGTCAGGTGGAGAAAGACAAATGCCATATGATTCCTCTCTTATGTGTGGAATCTAAAAACAAAACAAAACAGCAGTAGACTCGTAGACACTGAGACGTGACTGGTGGTTACCAGTAGCAAGGCTTTGGGATGGGTGGGCGAAATAGATGAAGGGTATAAAGAGGCTCAAAATCCCAATCATAATATAAATTAGTCATGGGGATTAAAGTACAACATAGAGAATATAGTCAATAGTTCTGTAACATTTTTTATGTTAACAGATAGTAACTATATTAGTTGGGGTGAGCATCTAATAATGTATAACTGTTGAATCATTATGTTGGATACTTGAAATCAGTGTAATATTGTATATCAACTCTACTTCAATAAAAAAACAAAAGGGAGAAAAATAGTTTTCTCTTTCTCCTATATTAATTTTTTAAATCTTTCTTATCTTTCTTATTCATTTTTTATTGAAGTAGAGTTGATATACAATATTATATTGGTTTCAAGTATACAACATAGTGATTCAACAGTTTTCTTTGTCTACATTATTAGATGATCACCCCAACTAGTGTGGTTACTATCTGTCAACATAAAAAGATGTTACAGAGTTACTGACTATATTCTCTATGCTGTACTTTCATCCCTGTAACTAATTTATATTATGATTAGATTTTGTGCCTCTATCCCCTTCACCTATTTCATGTACCCACACTAACCACTCCCCCATGGTAACCACCAGTCACAACTTAATGTCTATGAGTCTATTGCTGTTTTGTTCTTTTTGTTTTTAGATTCTGCTTCTAAGTGAAATCATCTTATCTCCTCTTTCTTACTTAAGTGCATTATTTTTTCACTTTTCTACCTCTTGTCTTCCTTTAACTTTCTAGTAATATTTTTACTTGACATAATCATTTTAGATTTACAGAAAACTTGCAAAGATAGTACAGAGGGTTCCCATATACTCAACACCCAGTTTTCCCTATATTAACATTCTACTTTAGTATCGTACATTTCTTATGATTAATGAACAAATTGTATTACATTACTGGTAGCTACAGCCCATACTTTGTTCAGATTTCTTACCTAAGGTCCTTTTTTCTATTCCAGCATGCCATCCAGGATACCACATTACATTTAGTTGTCATGTCTTCTTAGACTCCTCTTGGCTCTGACAGTTTCTCAGATTTTCCTTGTTGATGACCTTGATGGATTTGAGGTACTGGTCAAGTATTTCATAGAATTCTCCTCAACTGGGATTTTTCCAATGGTTTTCTCACGATTAAGCTGGAGTAATGTGTTTTTGAGAGGAAAACAAGAGAGGTAAAATGCTTTTCTCAAGACATCAAAAAAGGGTACATCCTGTCAATATAACATCACTATTGCTAACCTTGATCACCTGACCTAGGTGCATCCACCAAGCTCCTGCACTATAAAGTTACTTTTTCCTTCCTTCCATACTGTACTTTTTGGAATCAAGCCATTAAGCCCAATCTACATTTAGAAAAGGAGAGAACTTCCCAAGTAGAGGGGCAGGTATCCAAATAAATGATTGGAATTCAGTATCACATTATTTATTGTCTTGCTCCAACTGTTCCAGCTTTGGCCACTGGAAGTCCTTTCAGGCTTGCCATTGTGTTACCTTGACATGTCCTTTTTCAAAATTTTTTTCACTTGTTTAATTCCTTTAAATTTTTTCCTCCCCTTCTTTCTTTTACATTCGCTATTTTCTTTTTCATTTCTATTTTTCCTCTACTCCTATTTTTCTTCCCCTCCTTTCTCTTCTCCATTAGCTTTTAATATTTTCTCCTTTCTTTTCCACTGATGTTTTTAAAATAATTTTCCTTTTCCAAAATTTTTTTTATCTTTTTCCTTTTTACATAACATTTTCTTTATTAAAATTTTAAAATATTCTGCCTGATGATTTCATTGTAACTAGTAAAACAACATAAGGATGCAAAAAGAAAAAATATACCCTCATTTCCACCTTCTCAACCTCACCGCCAATATTCTTAGTCATCTACTAGATTTCATAGCACTCCTGTAAAGCTCTTTGTTCCCTCACACGAATAACAAAAGGACACTGTGTGGTGACTCCTGAGAGTCTGCTAGCTTCCTTGATAACTCTACACCTTCAAAAGTCATAGTCATTAAACTGAAGATTGGCTGGAATGCCAAGTGAATAATCAGACATTTAACATCTTTATTACATAGAAACATTCACATTAAAATCACTTTGGCTGACCATGACTAGAAGAGAAATATTCTAAACAGTCCTTCTCTAGGACCTTCTAGCTCCTAGCACCAGGACAGTGTATGTATGGGTATGCATGCATTCCCAAGCTCTCTGCCCCCAAACTTGGGAATCTATTGGGAACCAGGAGAAAGAAATGAGTGAGAGTCTAGGGAAGTTGGGGAGAAAGCCTTATCAGAAATGAGGTATTCATGTAGATAGAAGGCAACAGGAAGACACTGGAAGCTTCACAACTTGGGACCAAGAACAGAGATGGCCTATGTGAAGGCTCCATTCTGCCTACTCTCATCTTAACTGTTTGCTCTCTATCCAGGTATGTTTTATAGGAAGTTGACATTCCAAGTCTAACCTCATATATAGTCAGGCTGGCAGGTAAAGCTGAGCCCCCAGATTCCTTTGCTTTCTTGCACTCCAGTGTCCCTGGATGAAAACAGAAATAACAATCCTAGAGCCTTTCCTGCAAGTCCTGACAAGTTTAACACTTACAAGCTTATTTTAGGTATAATCCTGCTTGGGAGCTAGGGGTGAAAGAGAGAAGAATGGGATGAATTAGATGATCTCTGGAGCCCCTTTAGATGGTGTGATTCAGTCATCTGAGGGTTTTTGCAGTTGTTGTCAGTTGCGATTGACACCAGGGGCCAAACAGACTGTGTGAGCTAGGACAAAACTAGATTACCTTTGGAACTGAAGAAAGAAAAACATCATTCTGGGTCCTACCAGAACCTTCTACTGCTCCCTTTCATTATCATGTCATCTATTTAGAACAAAAGCCAGAGGTAATTGTATTTAAAAACATATCCCATTCATCCAAGCAAGGTATCCCTTCCAATCCAGCCTGATTTGGAATGGTGTTTCAGATCTAGGGCTCTGAATTGGAACAGTTTGGTGGCTGATAGAGATCCACTCCACAGTGTCAGAAAGGTACCCTTCCTGTCTTTTGTTATCCACTAAGTACCGGTCAAGGTCTGATATTGGCAATGGGACTTGAGATTATGTGACTTTATCTTCCTTAAATATGGTATTAATTTTCACCAGGAAAAAAAACACTAGTTAATGGAAGTCAGGCACTTAAGGTAACAAGAGGGACAGAGTTTTGCCTTAGGGTAAGGCATAAGAGTTTGATTTTCTCAGAATTCTCAACCTGATTCTCAGGTCAACAGCAACTAGTTTGGGAGGGGCTGTACAAAGGCATGAGGTTAAGCCTTCAACCTGGGACTTGAAGCCAGAAGAACCCACTAATTCAAGAACACAGTAGCTTTAAATAGTCCATATGTTGAAGGCCTTCTCAACAATGTGGCTATTATCTACATAGTGACCAGATTGAGCAAGCCAGCTCTGGAAGGTAACAGCTAAAGAGCAAAGGTAATATGGGGATGTGTGTACAGTGGGGATGGATATCAAGGGAAGCTCCACAAGATTGATGGAATTTCTCTTTTCTTTGTCTTTTCCTTGCCTAATGCAGGTAAAGAATCACTGTTTACAAGGGTAAATGGATGTGTGGGATACTAGAAAGGCCTCCACCCAAACATCAGCCTCTTTAGGACCAGACATTTCACTTTCAATGTTAACAATCAATTCCTTAGATTTTAGCAATGTGAATGCCCTTAGCTGCCCCTAGAAAAAGAAGTACATTCAATCCCTGACACCATAAATCCTAAGGAAAGTAGAAAAGTAGAGCCAAAAAGTAGGATTGCCCTTTGGAATGTGCTACAAGTGAACCAAAGATTTGTAGAATAGGAAGTGATCTGAGAGATCTTTTAATTCACCTTGATACTTAACTATAATAATCAATTCCCTCAAACTAACTATTAGGAATGAAGGTGAGGATCTGGACTGGGAATAGAGAGAGGCTCTAGGTTGTATAGGAGGGTTGAATCAGGAAAACAATGTTTTCTTTGGTGGGGGGTGGTATATGACCTTGAAGGGAAGAGAAGATGGCACTGAGAAAGATGAAGGGGCACAGGCAAAACTAGGCCAGTGTATAAGAGGCAAAAGTGTGTTGAGGTCTAATATTTAAAAAGATTTTTTAATGAATTCCAATGGTGCAGAAAACTCTTTTGAATGGCCAGACATCTACATGATGGTTTTATTTAGTTTAGGTCCCTGAGGCTAATTGAAATAGAATGTTCCTGTTAAAGCAAACAGCCAGCAGATCTCAGACCTAGTTATAACCCTCTTCAAATAAAGTTATAGGTAGGAATGGTGACAAATGTTCATATTTTTCTCTATTTGGAATATAAAATATAGAATATAGAATTTTGATGTTTGTTATGGACCTATTTAGAATGCTACATGATACAATAAGCCCTCTCAGGAAAAAATAGCAAATATTGTAGCTGCAAGCTCCCCTCCTGTTAGATATCCTTTCCCACCCTAGGTCCTGTCATTTATATAGGAGTGTTACAGTGTTACTTAGGGGTAAATGGAAAGATAGGGAAATGGAATTTCATAAAAGTATTCTCTTTTTACTATCTGTATTGGGTTTTTTTTTTTATGTTTTGAAGAGGTAATCCAGGCACATGGTAAACATGCACACAGCAATGCATGCAAGCAGTTAAACTCACTATAGGAAAACACTGTTAAAACTTCCTGTGTTAACTTCCAGAGATTATATATTTATGAGCATATATATATGCATATTATTACAATTTTGGATGTTATAAAAATCTGTATGAAGCCTTCTGTCCATCAGGTTTGGGTTTGCTTCAGAGCAACACCTGACTCCCACAACATGGTCTAAACCATGCGGCCAAAACAATTTCCACAGATTCAGCCAGGCAACAGTTTCCTACTTTAATTTACACATCCAGGACCCAAGCTACCACATTAGGGGTGCAGTGGGGATAAATCCTGGGAAAACAATGTGTTCTCTTAGGAAAATGGGGATTTTAGTATTTAACTCACAAAATTGCTTTAAGTCCTGAAAAGAAAACTGATATGCATGAACTGCCTGGCATAGAGCAAGTGCTGTTTGTGTTAGCTGCTATCATCATCATTTTTATTGTTTGCTCTTGTTACTAGGAAAGGACAGCTCAGGGCTTCTTGAAGCTATTCCATTTTCTCAATGTTTTCCTCACAGGTACCTCCAAAGTCAGGAGCCTCTATCTGTTACTACTCTTCCTCTGGGATGCCTCCCCAACCAGGATCTAAACTCTGGAGCTAATTGGTAACCCAGATTGAACTTAGTCTCATTGCATGATGTTCCTTTCATGGTATCAATGAGATAAGCTATTTCATATGTTATTACTCACTACTGGTCTTGTAAAAACCATGGAAATGCGTGGACAGACCAGCAGCTCACCATACTTTCTGGGGAATTGCTCACCCCAGAATATCTTTCCATCTCCTTTGTGTGATTCAACTCTTCTTCATCCTTACACCTCTCACTGCTTCTAAGGAGTTGCATGTTACTAGCTAGCCACAGACACTGTAAGGCCTTACCCTGCTAGTGAGGCCTTCAGGAAGTTGGTGCTGTTAGGACGGGCTGGACACCACTTCTGCAGCCTGAGTCTGCCATCTCATTCCCTTAAAAGCCCTTCCTGGAGAGGAAGCCAAGCCCACAGACCAACACATATTTTCTCATCTACTTCTTTGTCTGGAGAGGTAGTTGAATGACAACTGAGACACTAGCTTTCTCCCACCAATGAGTCTCATCACTGACATCTACCTACTTCCTGGTTTCTCCCAAATATAAATTTGATGTTTAGCTGCTGATGTAAGTCTCTGTGCCGTTATGGAGGGGCTTTAACATCCATAGAGATAAACCACAAAGCACCACTTTCTTGGGTCAACTCCAGTGACCTTTCCCTGAATTTCTGTTGTCCACACCCATGGCCACACCCAGGGTCTATTCATCACTCAGAATTCCTCCACCTCTAAAATCTTAAATTTGCATATCTCATTTTCTGGCTACTTTTTTTCTGCACTAGGAGTTTTGACTTCCTCATTCCTATACTCCTATCCTTTGGTCTCCTGTTTTCTCCCAATTTATAAATCCTCTCCAGCCTAATTTTCTTCCCTAACTGGCCTGGGCTCTATAATCCATTATTTCAACTACTATCTTTTCTGTGCTCTTAGCTTATCATATTTTGACATGATACCACCTGAAAACTCATGTTTTCCTGTTTCAGGAAAATTCTCAGTGCCACACAACAATTTTTCTAAGAATTCCTGGCCAACTTTATCTCTGATTCCTGCCTATACCCTCAGAAAGTCTCTATCAGTCACTGCCCTCAATTCTGAATCTTCACCCCTTCCCTCTCTGATGGTTCTCTCTCCTCCACATGACAATATGTTAATACCCCTCATAATTTGAGAAACAGTTCTTCAATCCTGCCAATCTCTACTGTCCTCTCTCTCCTTATCTTCCTAACCAAACTTCTTGAAAGAACAGTCTATATTCACTGTCTCCACTTCTTCTCATACTCACCCCTTAACATACTGAAATCGGGTTCTGTTTCTGAGGTAGGTCACCATCTATGCTTGTTTGTACCTCTATTATAAAACTTATCACCCCATTGTAACCACCACTAAACCTAATCACTTCAAAAAGGAGAACCTCATCTAACTCATCTATGGGGTCCCAGAACCTAGCACAGTGCTTGATTGATAGGAGGTGCTCAATAAACGAATTATGTTACAAACACTTACTGAACACCTACTAGGAACCAAGCACTGTAGCGGCTCTGTTAGAATTCACAATATTTGGACTCCTGTAATCCATCACCAAAGCTATATTCAATCACCTTTATTCTCACAGAAACTTTCTCCCCTTCATGAATGTCAATCAGTACATTTAATTAAGCCGCACAACCCCTGCCCTGTGCTGTGCCCTACTCACAGTTATCATTTAACATTTGTTGAATAAATGCTGATAGATCTCAGCAGACCCAAGAGCTGCTATTGTAAATGGCCACAGAGGGCCCTGTCCTGGGATCTGATTCCTTACAGAGGTCTTTCTGGTTTTTAAGAGCCATTTCTAAACAGTTCCCTAGAAACACATTCATTTGCAACTCTATCTCAATACTGCTGATAGTTTTGGTAAGCTACTGGCCTGTTTACAACCCCTACCTTTCCTTTATGTCAACTTCTTTCACTCCTCTCCAGTCTTCTTCCCCTTACCTATAAACAGGTGCAAAAGTCTCTCCTAGCCGTAAACAAATACCTAAATTAGGGACCTCAAGATCCCATTTTACCTGATATCGTTTCTTTCTCCACTAATCTTTTGCAAGAATAATCTATACTTTCCAGTTTAAATTTCCTTTTCGCTACTGGCACCCATATTAAGTAGTCAGAAAGGATATGGTATGTGTTATGTTGGTCAGGGAAAAGCTTCATTGACTAATAAGGACATAGGACACAGAAGAAATCCTGAAATTAAAGTATTAAATGTATTGGGGGAGTATGGAGGTTTTTCTATTTTGATTTTAGTCTGTTTTATGATTTTCTTTCTAAAGCAGGCATATGATACACAGTTCAAAAGATACAAAGGATAAACAATGAAAAGTGTTCTCACTCCCACCCAGTTTCCCTCTCTGGAGGCAATCACTGTTAAAAACTTCTTGTATATTACTCCAGAGATAGTCCATGCATTTACAGATATTCACATAGATGGAGTCTCTATACAATGGTAGAGAACAATAGGAATTGCATTGAGAAGGGTAAACTGACAAGCACAGGAGGAGATGTTGAAGAATTTGGGAACATCAATTTCCCTCCAATATACTCCTTCTCCTAGGTCCTCACCTCCATTAATAGCCTTTCTATCCTCCCAAGTTGCTGAAACTCAAAACTTCTGAGCATCTCTCCTTAGTATTGGGTCTGCAGTTCACAGAGCATTGCCATAGCCCTTATTTCATCTAACTTTGGTACACCCTTGTGAATGATACTGAGTCCAAATGGTTATCTGCACATTGCAGTTAAGATGATTAATAATCCCTCTACCCTTGCAACTTCTACATTACATTTTATCTGCAAAATGTAAATTACATACATCCTCTTCTCACCATCTCCACTATTCCACCTTCCTTCAGGCTCTCATTACTTCTCATCAGTAAAACTGGAATAATTGCTGGCTTTATGGGGTTGTTAAGTATACCCACTAAAATTACGACGAGCCATAACACCACAACAAATTTTTGTTCTCAACAAATACTTGTTTCTTTCTCCTTCTCCTCCCAAAATCTCCCACCCTTAGTCCATTCTCCACATTGCATACATGACTCATTAAAATGATGTAGAATTCTTGCATTTATTTTTTCTGTGTCCATCCTTTATTGATCCCAAGATCGGGACATCAGAATATGAGAACTTACCTGGACTCTGAGGAAAAGCACTAGAAAATTCTAGGTACAGCCATGCCAAAGGAAAATCACTCTTGGTCCTTCTCAAAGGTATTGCTTTTAGAGTCTAGGGCAGCACAATTGATATTTAGAAGCTAAGATGGTCAAGATCAGCCCTGCATTTTACACCTAGAAAACCCTGCATATCCTTTATTATGAAATTTAAATGTTACCTTCTTCTTGAAGCTTTCCAAGATTCTGCCTACATTACCTCTTCATCCAAATCTGAATGAACCCTTCTTTTCCCAACATTACAAAAGGTAAGGGAGGGAAAGAGGGAGGAGAAGGAAGGAGGAAACAGAAAATCCTGGACCATCACAAGAACCTAATTCTGCAGTTCCTATGAGTCTCTGTCACAACATTTTTGTCAACAATTAATACATACCTTGTTTACATGTGTTTCTGTATATATAGATATATATATGCAGACAATGCAATATTAACATTATTGTTAAAACACTTCCATTTTTCCAGTTGCAATCAAGGAAATCAAATTGAAGAAATGATGGCATGTCATTTTTTGTTGCCTATCGAATCAGAAAAAAATAGAAAAGATAACAGCCTATGCTGGTGAAAGTACAGTGAAATGGCCATTGTTATATATTGCCAGTAGATAAAAATAACATATATATTTATATGTATGTAATATACATAACACATATATTATGTATATATTTGATTCATTAACATTGAATTATAACATTGAACAAAGTATTTCTATATATTTTATCCATTAACATTGAACACGTGGCAAATAGTACTATAACTCATACCTGAACAAAATGTATCTAATACATGTATTTTCTCCATAAGGCACCAAACAGTCTTCAGCCTTCTTGCACTCAGGAACACTAGACAGAACTTCATTACTAAACTTGGGGGACATTTTACACAGCAAAATCATGGACAAAAAGCACTAAAATATGAAAAACATGGAACAAAATTATGAAAACCCCTGAATAGACTGTATGAAATACACTTATTTGCAGTATGGGAGCTGAAACAAGAGGGTAGAGATTCACCTTGGGAATGTGCACATCAGGTAGTTCAAGTTTTTTTGCCATTCTATATCTATCCATGAATGAGGACAAAAGTGCCACAAGAATTGATTTGGAGGTTATACATTTTACATTTTAGCAGGTAGGTGAATTCACAAACAGAATCTGTAAATGAGGATTGACTGCATTTATCATATTTATTGCACAGTTTTCCAATTTATCATTTGTATTTTAATTTTGTTCATGTTATAGATTTACAGAGGTTTTGTTTTTATATATGCAAATATATAACCCCCTTTGTGAGATCATATCTTATTTTAAAACTATGTAAAGAGGAAATATTTATTCACCTACATTTTCTTACTAGTTTTTTAAGTCTTTAATATTCTGCATAAAATGCTTTAATACACCTAGAATTTAGTTCAGTGGATGGTATATCAAATCTTTTTAGGAGGTAACAAGCTACCAGTCAGCAATCAGTGAACCTCACCTCTTGAAACCTTTATCGTTCTGCCTCCCAAAGATGGGCCCTTAAATACAATTCATCCAGTTCCAGAGTATGTAAGAATCTTCAATAAAATGGAAAATCAAGGGGGAAAAGTTTTACCTTTTCCACTAAATCCAAGTGTTGGATATCAAGAAAAAAGATGGGGTGGGTAATATCTCACAGCCACTTCATGGCCACATTCTTGCAGTGAAGCAGTACTAGGTGTGGGGCTAGAGGCCAAGTCACTGCCAAGGACTACAATGTGTCAGATGGTGCTGTCCCCATGCCCTAGGACAGCATTTCTCAGAATATTTTCAAGGACAACCTGCATTAGAGTCACTGGAACTGTTTGTTAAAACAAATATTCCTGGGTCCCATTGCAGGCCTATTGAACCAGAATATTGGTGACTGGATGCCCAGAATCTGCATTTTTAGCAAACTTCCCAGATAAGCCTTTTGCATGCTAAGGTTTGAGACTCACTGCCAGATAATCACCATTTCATAATTGGAGGTGGGGGAGGGTCGATAATACGGCTATCTGTAGTACCTGCTAAAGTCTTAGGAGGTTTAGTCAACAATATTCATATTATGCTCCCATGAGTCAGTGATGAGACATGGAGACCAAAAATGAGCAAACACGATTTCAGGCCACACAAATAGAAGTATAGCGTCTAGAATGGATGATGTAATGTTCTTGCCCTTAGTCCACACCACACCAGAACTGTGTTTAGCTTTAGAACACCACACCTCAAGAGTGGTAAAACCATAATATGGTATGTCCTCAAAAGAATAATTTGGCTGATGAAAAGGCTGCAATCCAAGAAAAATGCAGAATTACCAAAGATAATTCTGATATATAGAGATATCAAGCCTAGAAAATGGAATATCTGGGTAACATGACTGCCAACCTCAAATAACTGAAGAGCTCTCATGTGGAAGAGATCCCTCTGCCTAAGAAATGTGGTTTTGTATACCTTCCCCTTGGCAGCTTGATTCTCAAATCTGTATCTCCAGACTGGGTCATTCTCCTGAGTTTCAGCCCTTCCTAAGTCTCACCACATGGATTCTTCATAAGCACTCAAACTCCACATAGTTAATATCAAACTATTATTATTCCCATTTTCACAGATAATGAATCTAAGTCTCAAGGAAGTTAAAGAATTTCTTATGGGTTCCAGGAAAGAAATTAAACCCAATTTGTCTGACTCTAAAGCTTATGCTCTTTCATTTTAATTAGTCTGGCTTCTATAACATTGGGTATGGGGGACAGAACATTACACATCTTATAGCTCTGAAACAGCATAGCAAGTTTCACAAGGGAGTTGGCCCTTCCAGAAAAGCAAATCTGCTCTAAGAAGCTCTAATCCTAAACTTGCTAGATTACATTTTAAAAAATAAATCGCTGGCATTATGAAGTGCAAAATTATTAAGTGGAAGAAGTTGGAGAAGTCCCTTCCCCTCCCTGGACCACACTTTCCTGTTCTTCAATATAGATAAGCTTGTATGGACTTTGAACATCTTTATGTTCCCTTAGAGCTGGGACATTGTGAGAGTCTATGAAAGACAGCATTTCATGTTAAGGTACAGACATTATGAATAAACATTTGGCTTGTGTAATAGCTCAGCTGTATTCCAACACCATCCTTCAGGACCTGCTGGACTAGAGGTTGATCATATATCTTCATGATATTCTCATCTACTCCAGGCATCCAGCCCAGCATGACGCACTTGTCCACACAGTCCTGACTTGCCTCTGGCAATATCAGCTCTTTACTCAACTGGAGAAGTGATCAGGTAAAAAGTAGAAATTCTGTTACTTTTTTCCCCTACACAGGGCTCTGATGTGCTCCCCCAAAGTGAGGTACTAGCTGTAATGACAAGTCACTTAAGCTCTCTTAGTCTCCATTTTCTCATCTGTAAAAGAAATAACAATACATAATTCACCTGGTTGTGAAAATTAAGAAATAATATGTATAAAAGCAACCAACATATACTAGATTCTTAGTAAATGTTTCTTTCCTTCAGTGTCATCCTTGGCTGGACCACACCAGCTAACCCCAGGATTCCCTTGGATTCACTAGTATTGTCAGGGTTCACCCTATACCTCTCCATTCTGATCACTACCCTCTTCACCAATGAAGACAATGAACACACAAGAAATGTTCATGATGATTTTCTCAGTCAATTGAACTATAGTAATCATGGCTTTATTTGAAGTTTTGTAGCAAAATTTAAATCCCTACAAGTTGTCAGCCAACTTCTGTTTAAATGTTTCATGTGATGGGGAACTCATTCAGAAGGGAACACAACCTTTTTCTTTGTCAGTCAGCTGTGCTATAACTTCCACCCAATGATCCTAATTCTTCCCTTGCATTGATATTGTACAGATAAAATCCTCTTTGTTATGACAAACTTGTAGATACTGGAAGATAGCAACCATGCCCCACTCTGCCCTCCAGGCTTCTCTTCTTAATCTCTATATTGTCTTTGTCCGACTTTATAAGACAACTGCCATAACTGAGCACAAAAATGAGGTATGGTTCTACAAACTCAGAATATAATGGAATAATCACCTCCCTAATTCTAGACTCTATACTATTATTAATGCAGCCTGAGTTTCCATTAATGTTTTTAGCAGCCATATTAAACATACACCCAGCCTGTAGAGTTGCGATTTTTTTTAATTTTATGAAATTTATGCAAGGTGTCACATTTGTTCATATCAAAATAATTTTGTTGTTTTTGAACCATCTTTGCTGTCTAGTAAATTCTTCTTGGATTCCTGGTTCTGTCATCCAGGATATATATATTACACTTCCTTTCCCACTCCAGTTTCCTCATAACATTTGATGTGCATTCTTTTCTATATCTTCATCCATGTCATTAATTAAAATGTTGAAACCAAAACAGAGCCAGTTACAGAGCCCTGTAGCCTATCACCAAGGATTTCTCCTGGCAATAGTGAAGTTCAATGTTTTTCCTGCCCACAACACACCTGAGGACCCTTCCTATCACTTCTGATCACATCAATCAGAGAAGTTCACAAAACATCAGATACGGAAGGAGAGGTAGGCCTTCTAAAGGAGAGTGCTGTAATGGGGATATGTCTCTGTGGTTTGGAAAAACTCTCATCCAGATAATTCTGATAAACCTCTCAGAGAATGTGCCCTCATTGGCACCCACCACCCACCCACACTTCTTAAGAATTCCTGCTCCAGAGAAACATCAAATCAGTTATTTGTACCCTTTGTAAATGGTTTTCTCATCTGTATGATAAAGCTAGTAACACATAGCTCATAAGGCTGTTGTGAGGATTAAATGATTAATGTATAAAGTGTTAGCATAATGCCTGGCACATAGTAAGTGCTCAATAAATAGCACTGTTTTTAAAAAAGTTTTTTCAGACTCCAACTAAAGAAATAATGTTCCAGTTCACGCTTCCTTCATCTTGTTCACTAGGATATCATAAAAATAAAGACCTCTGTCACGCACCTTGCTGAGATCAGTTACACTGTAGCCATCATATACTTGCACCTATTTGTGAAATGATCCTATCAAAATGGGCCATGTTTTCAAGCCCACAAATCTAAATACAGGACATAGCTCCCTAACGGAGATATCATGACCACAAATACATTTAAATTTAAATTTTTCCAGGCTCAGGCTCTACTACTTGACCTGGCTTCACCACCCTCACCTATAAATGGCAGAATCATGACTTTCACATTAATGGAGGCCTACATCATTGCCCTTCCTGATCCTCTTTTACCTGACCCTGCTGTTCTCAGGGAGGTGAGAGAATCCAGGTAAAATAATCCAGGCTTGCCTTGCAATAAAATAATTTTAAGATGGTTGTGACTGAAGGACATATTGTGGTTTCCCACCCTACTTATACAAGGCCACACCTATCACTACATCTCTGATATTATCCCCCACTCCTTCTCCCACACCCAACCTCTTGTCACAGCAGCTTATGATGTTGCATTCCACATTTCAGGGCTTTTGGTGGCCACAGGTCTAGGATGAAGTAGGAACTGAATCTGAACCAGAGATAACTGTGAGACTGCAGTGCTGAAAGCCATTTTATGTTGTGGATTTTCTGAGTGTCACTTTAATGATAATCAACATATTAATATGAAAATAACAGTTGCTCACATCTACATTGCGCTCTGTAGTTTACAAAGTACTTCGTTGAACAATTTCTCCTTTGTTTCTCAAAACAGTTCAATAGCTTCATTTAGGGGCAACATTGCTGAAAATTTAAAAAGGAATTGTCTTTATCAAGCTAAATTATGTATTAATTCCCATACACAAAATAATCCCTGCCATACAATCTAGTTTAAGCATGCAAAAATGTTGGATGGATGCTCCAAAAGGCATTTAACTCTAAGGTTCTTATTTTTTAGAGCAGATGATATTAACTTTATTTTGCAAATGAGGAAAACAAGTCTTCGGAAGATTATATAATTTGCTCAAGGTCCACAGAGCAAATAGCAGAACAAGGATACGAAGCCTGGGATGTCTGACTCCAAATACTCTGACTTTTTTTCTACCTGAACATTTAGAAATACCATTCAACTGCCTTGACTAAAATGGCTGCCATCCTCCCCTGTTGAGAAATAGTGGCTAATTGAATCCATCTTCTGAAAAAACATCTTTCAAATTACAGGATCCTAAGCCAAATTCTCTCATAAAAGGATCAATTTCCCTCCCAGGCAGCAAGTTCCTATACCATTCTAGGAATCCTTTCTTTTTTACTTTACAAACCATAGAGCCCCATCTATCTGTAGAAAAGATGTTGAAATTTAGTGCATCAAACCAGAGCACCAACCCCAGCCTCAGTATTGCAGCATTCTGTTACTTGTCATCAGGGTCCATCCTCCCCTCTATCCCATGGGAGAGATTTTGTACAAATTAGAAATGTTACAATCTGTAAAAATTTTATTTTTCATCCCCTAATTTTTTCATTCCCTACCCTTCACACTGCAGTCCCCACAGAGAACAGAAAGACAACCACATGGGAGAAAGCTAGAGAATAAAGGCCAATATTTACTTCAGTCCACAACAATAAGGAGACAGATAACCAGCCCCACAGGTGAGAGATTAGATACTGCTCTCAACCTACTACCTTCTCTTATACATATCTCTAAAAAATTGCAAGGTATAGTCCTCAACTCAATTCATTCACTTCATGTCTTATCAATTATAACTAACTCTTTTCTTCAAAATTTACTAGTCCCTCCATCTAACCTTAATAGCATCCCTAAAGAGCTAAAAAGTATCATGACCATCCATAATTAAAGGGGTGGGAAGGTTATCATTTGTAGTTTGGGACTCTAATAATTGCAACCTGAGATGAGGCCAGACACAAAGGCCCCAGGGGCTGGTTTGCAGAACTACATATCACTGGGGCCACATACAATCCGCGTCTCAGCTTCAGCCGGATGGGGCTGGTATTAGCTCCTATGTTGCTTCCCAGGCTTTCCAAAGGCAGAGCCCAAAATACTGTATTACTTCCTCAAAATGTCCTCTCACCTCACAAAAAGAAAAAAAATTAATGGGTTTGGGTACAACTAATCTTTTGAGCCTCCCTCCAATAATCCTGGCTTCTATATTTTCCTGTCTCATTTGATGTTTTCTTTCCTTGTTCTCAGCTCAGTTTCAACTTCCGTTAAGTACCTGAATCCTTGCTTTGGCTTGAATCAGCATCATCTTCAGCCATCTTCCTGGGTTTACCGACATCAGACTCCAGCTCTGCAGAGTTTAAACTGGTCAAAATAGATTTGAACTGGTCAGAACTGATTTTTTCTTGTGAGAAAATATTTGAACTGGTCAAGAGCAAGTTCTGACCACTTTAAACCTATTTGGGGCAGTTTTACATCACTAATGCAAGAACAAACCACTGAAGAGAATCAAGATGAATCAGGAGTAAGATGAAGCAGCTTCAATCTGCTTAGAAGACCAGTGGGGGGTACAAAGAGGACCTGATGCTAAGGACCATACCATTTGTTGTGTTGATTAGCTAGAGGGGGAATCAGAAAGGACCTAATAGTCTGCGAGGTAGGATCAAACCACTGAAGACCCCGGGGGAGGAGCTAAAAGAAGCTCATGCTCAATGACTCGGGATCAAATTATTGGCGTGAGACTGGAGGGGGAAAGATGTTGACGCTCTCCAGACAGGATCAAACTGCAGCTGTATAGAGAGCTAAACAAGGATGCTTTTCTATAAGGTGTCATCAAACCACTCTGGGGTAGGTATGGAAAAAGAAGGGAGAGTAAGAACATAAAGGGCCTAGTGGTCTGTGAGACAGAATCAGACTACTGATTAGCGGAAAGGGGATGCTGTTCTAAGAAGCAGGATCAAACCACTGTGGAAGGGAGGGAAGCAAAACTAAGCTGAAATATTTTGAAACAAATTTCAAATTCTTTTAGTAAAGTAAGAGGATATGATATTCTTTAAAACAGAATTAAACTCTTTTTCAGTTAATAAAGGTCATTTACATTGTATTATCTCATTTGCTCTACTCTGCCCTGATGGCTGGGTCAAACCATCTTCCCACAAAGGCTTCTGCAGTAATTTGCAGCTGCTCCTGATGGTTGCTAGGCAACAGTAAAGCTGCTGCCTGAGGAACCTTGCCCTTTTGATATTATTAACCCCTGGGTTTCTGTAAGGGAAATAATATGAACACACATGAAAAACTTGGGGAGCAAATTGAGACAGTGTCATCAGATGCTAGGTGGGGAAAAGTAAGAGACAACCACACAGAGCTTCAAAAATAAAAGGAAGGCAGCAAGTAGCTGGAAAATGATGGCTATGTGAATAAAGTAAAACTCACAAAAGCACAGTCCTATGAACTTAGAAAGCATCAAGCCCAAACCTCCACAATAGTACTCAAATACCTTTGGAGAAAAATAATAGTTCTAACTTCCTAGGAAATCTATTCTGTTTGCCTACAATTCTGGCCTGTTTTTTTTTTTTTTAATTTAGAGCCAAACTCTCCCCCATAGTTTCCACCAAGTAGTCCTGAGGTCTGTCTTCTAGAGCAGAGGTTGGCAAACAGGCTTGCTGGCCATATGCAACCCACCACCTATTTTTGTGCAATATGAGCTAAGGATGGTTTTTACATTTTTAAATGGTTGAAAACCTCAAAATAAAAATAATTTGTGACATGTGAAACATTATACAAAATTCAAATTTCAACCCCTAAATAAAATTTTGTTGGAACACAGCCGTGTTCATTCATTTGCATATTGCCTATGGCTGTTTTCCTTCTACCACAGCAGAGTTGAGTGGCTGCATGAAAGATCTATGGCTCTCAGAGCCTAAAATATTTACTACTGGCCCATTACAAAATAAGTTTGCTGACCTCTGATCTAGAGTAACAAAGAATCAGTTTTCCATAGGACTCTGCTTAATTAAGAATGTAATGGGAATGCTAGATATGAAAGGGAATGAAGAGACCTCACCAAGAATCCCAAATCCACAAAGGGAGGGAGGGGACAGGTGCCAGAGTCCTGTGAACCCACAAATAACTTTAAGCTGCTTCTCATGGGGTTCAGCGGATAAGTAGGAGATTTAGCCTTCATGGAATTGCTGGGAATCTCTAAGCAGAATGAAAAAATAGCTGTAAGGGAAGGTTGGGATCAGAGTGTGAAAGGCCTTGAGTACTAAATACAGTTGATTGACCATCCTGAAGCAATGCGACAGCCACTGTTGGGATTCAGGTTGGGATAGGGTTGACAGGCAAGATAAAAGGACTTGAGGAAGATGATTCATGCTTTGAGACATCATTCTAGTTGTGTTCCAGGTATAGACAAGTTGCAATGGTCTGAGAAATTGAGGTCATTTTGGTCACTCAGGTTTAGAACTATATCAATACAGGTGTCCTAGTCTGAACACAATCTGGTTGGAGGCCAGGATTCCATGGTAAATCAAAGATACATGTTGGGTCAGTTTCGAAGGATTTTTGCCATAGGAGCATAAGAAGAATTCTCATCACATCTTTGATTATTACTCATTTTCTAGGGCCCAACTCAACCTATATCTTTCCCAGGGCTCTTGGTCTCCTCTGAACTCCTTCAGCATTTTGTGCCACTCCCATGGTCCTCACTCTACCCTATCTAGTACTGAAAGTATCTCTTTGTGAAAATGGCCTGTTTCCCCAGAAAGACTTTGAGATCCCAAAAAAAAGGGATCCTGATTCCAATTTAATTTCCCACAGTTTCTGGTTGATTGGTAAAGATATTAATCCAATAATTTTAGTGGTCCCTCAGTGCGGGGAGGCCCTCACTTAGGGGGCCTCAGGCACTTTGGGAGCTATCTAAGCTCTAGCCACAAATCCACCTTCTTAGACTATATAGCCTGGGAGGGGGTGAGGCTTCATGAATGTATTCCTGCCAGCCCTGGACTTCAATGACCATGCAAAGAACAGCTAACTCTTTCTGGCCCTGATGCCACAAGAACCTCAGCTTCCCATCATTCCTGTCTTCATGGGCTTAGGGCTGAATGCCCTGGTCAGAAAGACAAAGCCCACAGTTCTGGCTGCCAGGCATCCAGTCCCATTTTCCATGGCCTCTGTTGATCCTGGACCCAGCCTTTAGGCTGGACTCAACAGATTCAGGACAAAAATAGGCCCTTGGCTGGGAAGGCTGGCTTTCCACAAAGTGCTCTTTCCCCCAACGGCCAAAGCAAATGCTGCTGACTGGGGCTAAAAAGCCAGCCAGCTGCTCCCGACCTCTACTGGCCAACACCAAGGAGGCCCCAAGTCAACAGTGCATGGACAGGTCTGCTATTTCATTCTTTCTCATTCTTCAAACATTAGATTTCCCTTCAGTGAATCTAAACAACCAAACAAAACTAAAGTCAGCTCTATCCTCTAGGAAAATGTCAAAGATTCCCCAACAGGCCTCAATTGCTGAGAGTTAAACATCCAGCACAGTCTCCTCCTCTGCTCGCCTCAGCCTCTTAAGGGTACCCAAGCCCATAAGCCACCTTCTGGAGTCTCTGTTGAAGCTGTTTTCCTCTGCTCCCATAGGGGAGAGGAAGGAGCTATGTAGTAATGAGCTATCAGTGCCCACTGTTCTTATTGGCTCACTGGCCAAGCTGAGACTCAAAACGGAATTCACCCAATCATTTTTCCTGAATAAAGTATACAGGCTCCCCTCATCATAATGTGACAAAGGCCAGGTTTCAGACACCAGCTGAGAGGGACACGGAAAGAGGGAGAGCAAGGAGGGGAAGGACAAGGAGAGTGGGAGAGGCCAGGCAGAGATAAAGGGAAGTATTCTTATCTAACATAAGGAAGTCTCTTTGGGAAGAGTGACTTTTGGCTTATGAGTGAGAGTACAGGACAGGGAAAATTTTGTACAGTGGTAAAACTAGAAAATGACATTGTTTTGAGAATGAAGTTTTCTTGTCTGTACACATAGAAATCACTCTCCCCTTCCAGAATGGGGTGAATCGGTGCTGATTTAGGAGAAACTTGGGACCAAACAATGGTTTCAAGCCAATATCATAACCTCTATGTCTCTCTCAATCACTGAAGTATTAGTAAAATTTATATAACGTTGTCAAAGTTAAGTCATAGGTTTAAATCCTTTATACTTCTATGGCATATCCACTCCAACTAGGCTTTCAACTAAAAGGGATTACTACTACAAAGGGAGGCACTCATCCTCAGGGATATTCAACATGAGTCAAACCACTAGATCAGCATTCTCTTAGGTACCCAGGTTTCTTCTAATAGTAATTACAGATATTTTACAATTATAATAAATACCATGTGCTTGACACCAGCTATGTGCCTGGTGACATTCTATTCCCAAACTGTGCACCAAGGCACCCCAGGGTAGCATAGCCAGCTGACAGGGGTACTGTAAGATAGTTAACATTTTTGAGGGAAACACAGCGACATCTATTGGACATGGTGTGAACTACTACTATCAAGTTTTTTGCACCTCATCAGTTAATAAACAGACATTTAAGTACTTCTTTTGGCTTAAGGATGCTGTGATAATTACTGACACAGGAGGGACACAGTGAACAAGAAACTTTGGGAACCTTTTATATATGCAATACATGGATTATCTCATGCAATCCTCAAACCTTATGAGGTGGATCTTAATATTGTTTCCATTTCATAGGTAAAGAAACTAAGGCTCCAAGATCTGAACTAATTGCCCAAGGTACCCAGCTAAGTAATAGCACAGCAGAGGTGAGAACCTAGATATAGCAAACTTCAGAGACTGTGCTGTTAAACCGCTTGCTATACTGCCCTTCCCATAATTAGCTTTGCCCACATTCCTCATTGCATATGCAGGCTATGAAGAATGCCTAGATTGGACAAGTGACCTTTGTGTTACGTGAACTGCTCGACCGCTTTTGAACTAATTCTCAGGAGACCTCCCATGCTTACTGTAATCTTACCCTAAATTTTACCTGTCGTGAACCACTAAGGTTCACATTTGTCTTATGGTGTGAGATACAATGCTATCTACCTCACGGGATATAAAAGAAGAAGTATCTCCCCTGTTTGCCACCAGTTTTCCTCTTGTAACTATGAGGGAAATGAGCCTGAGGACAAGTTCAACATACAGAGGAGGGCAGAGTTAAAGAGACTCACAGAGAAAAGGAGCAGAGTCATGACTGAACCATGCTTGAAGCCATCCTACCACTAGACTTTCCTGGTATATTAGCCAGTAAGTTCCTGGTTTGTTTCAGCTAGTTTAAATTGAATTTTCTATACTTTGTAACAAAATCATCCTGAGTAAGAGTTACTTTCCTAAAGCACCTAATACAGTGTTTGGCATATTCATCCATAAGAGCCCAGTCCCAATGCCAATTCTCCAATGAAGTTTGTTCTGAACCCCCAAATAATATATTGCTCTATATTTTGTGTACTCATAGCTCATTATATGTAACTTTACTATATAACATATTACACGGGGTTATTTATTTACAAACTATTTCTTT